CTGTCCAAAAACTTCCCATTTAGATAGACATTTGAATTACCGTAATTAAACTATGATGAACTAGCCTTCATGAATTTCAAAACATAGGCCTACTGTAGACTACGAAGCCATACTTATCTCCTAAAAGCTGTTTGGTGACTTTATAAAGCCATTTTAACGTCGAGAACTGTGTCCAATTGTTTTAAGACCTCCCATTTCACCTGTTATGTCATGCAAGCAAGAAGACACATTTTTTAACCTTACGTTTTTCTCCTTTCTCCATTTAATAGATCTGCCACAATATGTATAGTATGAATTTCAGTAATAGCATTGACTAGGCCTGATATAAACTTTAACACTATAGTTCGGCCGCATAGAAAACGACCTGCGCGCTAATGCTAAACCAATGCTACAGGAGGTCGTTTTCTAAGCGGCCGAACTATAGTGTTTATATAGTCAATGGTAATAGGCTACTGGTGCTACCGCTGATGGCTGATGCCTGTGTAAGTTAGTAGCTAGCAGACAATTTGACAACTAGGAACATGAAATCAGCTGTTTCCCTGCCCTCGCTATCGCGCTTGTCTTTGCCCTAGCATGTCAACAGCTGACTGCCGAATTGGATGATGCGTACAACTTTCCACAACGTAATATTGTTTTATTTGTCGTGCTATTAGGCCTACCCAACAAAGTTTATTACCCCTTGGACTAAGGGTGTTGGCGCTTGGCCAACACCACAGAAGAAAGACCTCCCGCTGTGACTCTGCCACATTTCCGTTGTCACATTAACCCTCCAACTGCTAGTTATATATGCCCTTGGTGCTAAGCAATTTTTAGGAAATTTGCGGCAATAATAAAAATAAATTATATAAATTGTATAAATCAAACAAACTATAACACATAATTTATTTTCTTGTTCAGTATAAAATTACCTACAAAAACATACCATATTATTGCATGGTTATGTTTTTATAAAAATATTTATATAGGTTGAGGTAAATAAACAAAATGCACAAAAAAAAAATTAAATATTATAACTCATGTATGGATAGAAACACCTTCGGGTGATTTTTTACGTTGCCATATTCCTCGGTCATAAATTATACATAAGACATATAAGACCCAAGAAAACTATTACTACCGGTAATGATTATATATAAGAATGGCTTGAAATTATATATTAGAAAATACAAATATGAATTACTCATATATTGGTGTATGGTGATGTCCTCTGAACCAGTAAATTGTAAAATGAAAATCCACTTTTTTATGCTTGAAATGTTACCGGTATATAACAACTTTTTCACGCACTAAACTATAATATATCATGTTTTTGAAAAGAATACATAGGCCTATTTAAAGTTTATTTTCATAGGACCCTAACAACTTATTCAGAGTCTGAGTCTTGCTGTAGTGGCCTTTTCTTCGCCCTCGGATTCCTCCAAAAATGCTCCATTCTTGAGTAGCACTCTCGATGGACTCCAGCGTTGCAACCAGGACACCAGAACCTGGTTCTGCCTTTGTTCGTACCCTGATTACAAACTGCTACACATTTTCTGAGAGCATTCCTAGGCAGGTGTTCTATCCTATGACCTTGTCCATCTCCAGCAGGTCCGGGGAGAGGTTCCGCAGGAGGCCTATCACAGGAAACAAGTGCTTCTAGTACATCGACGTGGAAATCATACCTGCTCATTAGGTTTGTCGGTGTTTTGGCAGTAAAGGACATATAAATTTGAACATAATGATATCAATAAAATTGAAAAAAATCTTTTTCCAGTATTTTGTAGTCTGGCGGTTGCACGATAAGTGATAAACTGACTTGAACACTCACGTCAACTCCACCCATAGATAGTCCAGTCAATGAATGATCCAAAAGTAGGTGTAGAGTGCGTGAGCAGGTAACTAAGCGATTCCTTCAGAAACTTGTTCAGAGGGCTTAGGATGTTAACATACCAAAAGTCCTGACTCCTAGGTGGTGAGCCAGGGGGTGGAGGGGGGAAAAAGGGGGGGAGAAAGGTACGCATTTTGGGTTTTTTGATTATATCTCAAAAACTATCAACTTTTTGTATACTATAGTAAATTATAAAATTGAAGAAGATTAAATTTTTTACAAGAAAAGTATATAGGCTAATGTGTTTATTTTGGTTCAACAGATTACGAGTTATAACTTATTTAATTAATATCTTATCAAAATACTCCTTCCATAAGAAATACATGTAAATTAGTATGCGAAATGGAGCGAATCCTATCCGCCCAAAGGAAATATAGGCTAACTGATATTCTGGAAATCTTGACAAAATTTCCAGTAATTTGACACTTTAATCATGAAATTTTGTCAATGATTAAAGCGAGGGTGAGCGTTTAAAAACGGGATGATTTGAGGTTTTTTTTATATTTCCAATAAAAAAACACCAAAACTCGACATTTTGTTACCTCGCCCTCGCCTTAATTTTGGATCAATTTTAATGATTAAAGTGTCAAATTACTGGAAATTTTGTCAAGATTTCCAGAATATCAGTTATATTTCCTTTGGGCGGATAGGATTCGCCCCATTTCACATACTAATTTACATGTATTTCTTATGGAAGGAGTATTTTGATAAGATATTAATTAAATAAGTTATAACTCGTAATCTGTTGAACCAAAATAAACACATTATATACTTTTCTTGTAAAATATTTAATCTTCTTCAATTTTATAATTTACTATAGTATACAAAAAGTTGATAGTTTTCGAGATATAATCAAAAAACCCAAAATGCGTACCTTTCTCCCCCCCTTTTTCCCCCCTCCACCCACTGGCTCACCTCCTAGGAGTCAGGACTTTTGGTATGTTAACACCCTAAGCCCCCTGAACAAGTTTCTGAAGGAATCGCTTAGTTACCAACTCACGCACTCTACACCTCATTCCTTGACTGGACTAAGACTGATTGTAGTTGTGAATCAATTCAGGTTTCCTACCCACAAGACCCTTTTTACTGGTGACAATTTTGTCCTCTGCATAGTACGCTGTTGTTGAGCAGGTTTTCTACTAACTTTCTGCCTAAAACCCACCAACAGAAGATCTCCCTTCCTAAAATAGATACTTTCTCGCTCCCCTAGCTGAGCTCTTTTCACTGATTTTGACAAATGTTTAGACTTTTTGTTGATGGTACCTGTATGAAAAGTTCTTCTGGCTAGAAGGTCTTCTGCCAAGGGAATTTTGGTGTAAAAATTATCTGTGAAGAGGTGATATCCCTTGTCTAGGAGTCCACTCTTCTGCATCACTTCCATCACCACACGATATGTAAACAGACGATCATCATCAGGATCATTTCTTGCTAAATAATCTTTGCCACTGTACAATTCAATGTTCAATACATAGTTGGTCTTGCTATCACATGCCTGGAATTTTTTTATCCCATACTGTTTATGTTTTTTATTCGGCAGATATTGAATGAAGGCGCATCGATGCTTCATTCCAATGAGGCTCTCATCGATGCACACTTCCTGGCCAGCAACAAAGTATTTTTTAAAACACCTGTTTACATGATCCAGCATCCATCTGATCTTAACCCAAGGATCATTATCAGGGTCATCATTGGGTAGATTTCTTGCTGACGTCATATGCAAGAACGTTGTGATTATAAGGAATCGATCGCGAGGCATGGTCTTCGGATAGAATGATATCTGTTGAGAAGGCCTAGAATCCCAATAACTGTGAAGGTTTTTTCTTACAGTGAGCCCCATATTCAATAATATCCCAAACCACTTTTTGAGTTCATTCACTGTCACTTGTTTCCTTTTCTTTAGTCTAGAGTTTGGAGTGAGATTTTTTTCATTGAGAACTCTGGTGGCGTGAGCATTTGTTTCAGTAACTACTCTATGCCAAAAAGCTGCAGTTAGAAATAAATTTACATAGCTGATTGGTGAGCTATTTCTTGGAGGAACTCCTTATTTATTCCAGAATCCCTGACCATAAACTTATCCTATACATCTTTGTGAGGTTCAGGAGGGTAAACCCTCACCCAAGGATCAAGAGTAGGCATAGGCCTAGGAGGCGTACCCGGTTCATCTAGGCCTAAGTTTCCAAGTGGCTCATAGGCATCATTTGCCGTTTCTTCCCTGTCTGAGGTCTCCAATTCACTTGTGTGAGGACTATAATTATCATCACTACCGGAGGAAAAGTCTGCCAAAGAAACGTCATCATTAGAGTCCGATTTGTACTCGGGAATGTCAAAATCTAAATCACTCCCGTCATCGTTGTTTGCGTTATCAACGCCAAACAAATCTTCATCAGGATCACTAAAACACTTAAACGGATGTCACTACTATCCATTATTAACGTAAAAACACTAAATTACTGCATTAGAAACCACTTTGGATAACACAAACAAACAGAGTCGGTAACTACGCAGGTTAGCACTGTTTGTAAACAGCAGACAGCTGGCGCAACGATGTCTTTTCTGCAAGTCGTTTTACAAAGCAGCCAGTTGGGTTGAAGAGTTAGAGACAGACATAGGGAGAAAGCCTGAAATCTGACGTTTACAACAATACCAAACTCAATCCAGTTTCGTGTAAACTGGAACGGAGTGGATTAGATTAAACGACACCTTACGTATCGACTAGCAGCCGGCCGGGGTGTGGCAATCGACTCGCTCGAGTCGATCAGCAGCTGGAGGGTTAACTGTCCAATCAGCCCAACTGCGATACTAGTTACCACACGTGTGTAGACTAAACAATATGCCTAGTTCTAGTGATGAGAAATTAACTTAAATTAAGAGGACCCGAAGATGCCAAGCTGGTGAAATGCATGACACAAACATCACACCTAGGTAGGCCTAGTCAAGAACTAGGCCTAGGCCAGGCTAAGGTTTTAGGCTAACCTATTCAAAGTTGCCTAGCTAAGTGTTAGCCAAGACGGCACCTATAAAACGAAATTACTCATAGCCTAGTTAAATTAAAATCAACATCGAATGGGAGCTGCCGAGAAACGAATAATCCGGCTAGAATTTTACAAAACCAGAAATTAATAGCCTAACTTACCAGCCGTCACACCATACACGAACTGGGTTTTTCTCTATATTCGTCATCTCCAAAAATACAATGATACAGCACAATGGTACAGTATCAGAAGGGTACTCTTTAAATCACACTATAGATTTACAATCATTACAACAGTCAACACAATTTAAAAAAAAAATCAATATCAAATTAGGATAGTTAGTGGTGCCACAATAGACGACAACAGTTTTAAGTTTTACTTTACGTTTTCACAGTTCACACCAACCAACGAACCAACCAACCAACACCAACTTCAACTTGACTCCTCCCCTCGGCTCGCCTCCTAACCTGAACCTCTACTTCTACTTCTACTTCTACTTATACTTTTATCTACTTGACGACTTGTCTTTTTGTCAGTCACCTGATTTTAAGTGCCGTAAGCAGCCAGTGTCTCCAAGTTTAACATGTAACACTGACATCGTTTTAAACATCCAATGAAACACTACCAATTATGTATAACACTATTTTATAGAAGGATTAACTAACTCAACAAAGTGTGTTATTTCAGTTTGCTTGCAGGCATCTACTAGTAAATTTTACTGAGCTACGTAATTAATACTTCCTCTGATACATGAATAAATATTTATAACGTAGAATATGTATCCAAAGTCAAAAACTGTTAGATTACGGTATCTGCAATCCTAAAATGCTATGGAAAGGGAGGGAAACAGGTCCGTGACGTAAGAAGTGGTGAAGGAAGTAGTAAAGGCGAGTTGTTCCGATGAGTGTGACATCTGTTTATGACCAATAGATTAAGGTATTTGCAATCCAAAAATGCTAAGGGAAGGGAGGGAAACAGGTCCGAGACGTAGGAAGTGGCGAAGGAAGTAGTCACCCAAGTAGCACACATCGTTGGCCCAACGTTGGGAAATGATCGGCACGGTTGGGAATTGGTTGGCAGAAATTTTAATCGATCGACAGAAACGTTGGGCCAATGATTTGCCAACGATTTTTGCTACTTAGGCAAGGCGAGCTGTCCGGAGTGTGGGAACTGTTTTTGAAGATTAGATTAAGGTATCTACAATCTTAAAATTCTATGGGAAGAGAGGGAAACAGGTCCGCGACGTAAGAAGAGGTGAAGGAAGTATTAAAAGGTGAGCAGTGTGGAGTGTGGGAACTGAAAACCGTTTGTAGCAGTTAGATTAATGTATCTGCAATGCTGAAATGCTATGAGAAGGGATGGAAGCATGCCCACGACATAGAAAATTGTGAAAGAAGTAGTAAAGGCTAGCAGTGCAGAGTGTGGGCTTTGTTTGTGGCAATTAGATTAACGTATCTAAAATACTAAAATGCTTTGGAAAGTGATGAAAACAAGTCATGATGTAGGAAGTGGCTTAGGAAGTAGTAAAGTATAAACATAGTGTGAGAACCGTCTGTAGCAGTTATATTAATGTATCTTCAATCCTAAAATGCTTTGAGAAGGGAAGGAAACAGGTCTATGACGTAGAGGAAATGGTGAAGGAAGTAGTAAGGCTTGCAGTGCAGAGTGTGGGAACTGTCTTTGGCAATTACATTAATGTATCTGCAATCCTAAAATGCTATGGGAAGAGAGGGAAACAGGTCCACGACGTAGGGGGTGGTGAAGGAAGTAGTAAAGGTGAGCAGTGTTGGAGTGTGGGAATGGATTATCTGCAATGCTAAAATACTCTGGGAAGAGACTGTAGACTGTAGGTTGAAATGATTACGAAGCACGAATCGATACATGCAACCGTTTAAAATAGAAATTTACAACTGAGTTGATAACAGCTGATTTTTACAATGTTTATTCTATAGAGGCTAAAAACGATTTTTACTCCCTAAAGAGTAGGAAAAATGCTACTTTAGACCCGCAACGCATGCATTAAAAACGACTGTTTTTACTGCAGTATGACAAAAAGAATATAATAGGAACCATTGATGACTCCGCTCAATTTTGTGGATGCCTCTGCGAACGCCACCTAGTTATGTGATGACATTGCTAATCAATCATACGGATCTGTGATTCAATGAAGTTTGTGCGCTCCCACCAAACACTGCCTTTTCAATTTTCTTTTCTAAATTTAAGGACAAATTTGATTTTTACTTTCCATTAAAGCAAAAATAGTTAAGTCAACTGATAGAGTAACTGACGGTGCCATTGTGCCACAGGAAAGATCAAGAATTGGTATTCTGAGGAGCTTGCGAGTTTCAAGAAATACATTTTGATAGTGCTTGACATGTCTAAGGGTATGCCTGATCTTATCCCATATCTTTGTGAATTGAGGAGAGAGTATCGACTCCAACTCCGTGAGGCAAAACAGCTTGCAGTGGCTCCTGGCTGACATGATCTCCACTGCTGCAAACCCATGCAAGGCAGCATGGGATCTGATCAACCAGAGCAGACCCAGACCAGAGTTGCTACTGCTGTTGACTTCGCCACGGCGGAGGACTTCAACAGATACTTCTTGGACTCAGTGGATAGTGTATTGTTGATGGTATCCCTGAAAATAATATTGATTATCTTGATAAAATCCCTGTTGTAGATGTAAATTATGAATGGAGTATGGTCCATTATGTTGATATTGTCAAAATCGTAAACGAGCTAATCCTAAAAAAGTAAGGATATATTCGACATATCGACTGAGTTTTGAAAAAAAATAGTAACTGTGATTGCACCTTTATTAGCTCACTTGTTTAACTGTTTGTTGCAAGGTGTTTATGTGCTAAAACATCCAGAACTCCGTGTATAAAAAGGGCCCCCAAAAAGATCATTCTAGTTACAGACCGGTTTCTTTTATACCTGTTTTAGGTAAAGTGATAGAGGCTGTACTGTTGCAGAAACTGAGTAACCACTTTTAGGAGCACAATCTCTTTGTTCCTGCCCAGCATGGCTTTCGGAGGGGTCTGTCGACTGTTTCGGCAGTTGACTCCCTTGCAAAGGTCATACTTGAGGCATTTGAAAGCAAATCTTCTGTTTCTGTTTTGCTGTGTGATTTGTCTCGAGCATTTTATTGTGTACCACATGATATTTTATTAAATAATTACAAAAAATATGGTGTTGGTGAAAGTGCCCTCAAGGTGGTCAAGTCATATCTTACAGATAGATTCCAAATTGTAAGTTGGTCAGGGGTGGTGCCTTGCCAGTCAAGCACGGAGTGCCTCAGGGCTCAGTACTGGGGCCTTTTCTGTTCATCATAGCAATGAATGACCTTTACTTTTATAATAGATAAAAGGAGGATGTTTCAAACGATGTATTGCTCTATGCTGATGACACAACGCAAACAAGGTTGTGTGACACAACCTTGTTTGCCAAGCACATTGATCCTGTAATTGCAAGCAACTCTGCAAAAAAGATTGTTTAACTAGCTTCTGAATGGTTTTCGGGAACAAATTGGCTCTTAATGACAAGAAACCCCAAGAAATAATGTTTAGTTTAAGTAAAACTAATTCAGTTTGTGATTCTGTCAAACTCTTATGCTTTACTTTGGACCCAGAGATTGTGTGGGATTAACATGTGTATTAAACATGTGCCATATGTATTAAACTTAATCGAGTAATTTGTCTTTTGAGGAAATTAACATCTGAATTGCCTCCTGAATTTGTGAGACTAGCTTCCTTCTCTTGTTTTCCGTCACACGTTGTGTATGGAACTAGGCTTTGTGGCCACTCCTCACAGGCTCAGAAGGTCCTCGTGCTAAAAAAAAAGCAATTCGTGTGATGTGTAATTGCCTTTTAGAGCACATTGTAGAACATTGTTTGTTGATGAGCAGATCATTATACTGACTTCAATGTATATATTTACCAGTGTTTGGATGCTATCAAATCGATGGAAAATTATCTTATTTTCAATTATTTGAATTTTTGAATCGTAAAAATAACTCCATATCAAACTAATAATTAGCGTTACGTCGTTGAATCATAGATTAAACATACTCCCTTTATGATTATTGTAACTCAATTCTGCGTTTAAATGTTTGTTATACACACTATACTATAAAGACAAAAACTATCGTGTCTGCACCACAACTACTATGATGTACACAACACATGGTTCTTATAAATTTATCTAAAGGATTAATTTACCAGTATTATTTGTTTACATTGCTTGCTTAGTGTGTAATCTATCATGGTGAGCGTTGCCAATTTTAAACACATTTTAGAATGTAACTGATGCAAATATTAAATTATCTTTGCTTTTGAATTGAATTCCATGAAGTTTAGGATAAGTCATAACTGTGCATAAGTACATGTAAGTAGTAATTTTGTTAAGGGTGGGATTTTTAGCGAATTTGCCTATAAGTTAGGGAAGTAGCTATTACCATAGGTCTCATGGTAAGACTTATAAGCTCAGGACCAATTTACTATTTCATTTTGATGTCCAAAGAGGCCAAAAACACAATTTGTTCAAATTGTTATACATGTATATATATCCATACATTTTTTATTAAACCTGCATACTAAGCGAATTTCCATTTACCCGGCTTGATTTCTACTAAAATATTCCCTATAAATTTTCAGATTTATTTCCTATTGAAATAACATTAATTTTAGTGAGTAGTTAGGTTTGCTGCTACGGGGAAGATGTTGAGGTGTGTTTTTTTTTAATTGAAATATTCATAGCTTAGTATGAAATAAGCCAAATTGCCAAATTTTATTAAAATATATCCATAAACAAGCAAACTAGAACAGTTTATTTATTCTCCGTAAGAATAACATGGGAATTTTAAATTTACAATTTTTTAAATTTTCTCCGTAGTCAATGAACATTCAAAAAAACTTCAATATACTAAATTATTTGTTTTTTTAAGCTCTTCAAAATGGTCTAGAGAGAAATTTAGAAATTTAAAGTTTTTAGGGTCAAAAATGAGAAAAACCCATTTTTACCCCATAAAACCCCCTATAAACCCCTGATCCCATGGTCCGATTATGCTGGTTCGCGAACTCGTTCGAATAAATGTAGGTTTACACGTTTGTACCAAATTTCATCAAAATCGGATCAATTTTGCTTGAGTTATCGCGCTAACGGACACACACACACACACACATATATATATATATATATATATATATATATATATATATATATATATATATATATATATATATATATGAATTTGAACGGATGGTGTTTTTGGCCTCTGGGGACCTCAAAACGAAAAAGTAAATCGGTCCCGGGTCTAGGTCTTACCATGAGACCTACGGTAATAGCTTATTCCCTATATGGGAAATTCGCTAAAAGGAGGAAAAAGGGTACTTATGTTATTTTATCTATTGTTTATTGATTGATATACATCCGTAAACGCGATGACCTAAGTAATTTTTGTTCGATTTTGATAAAATTTGGATTGAATGTGTAAGGTGGGATATACTTGAATGAGTTCGTCAACCAGCATGATCGGACGATGGGAACGGAGTTTTACGGGGAGTTTTATTGGTTGAAAAATTGGTTTTTCTAATTGTTGACCATCAAAACACAAAATTTCCCAATTTCTCTCAATTCCTTTTAGAAAGCTTAAAAACAAAAATAATTTAGTTTATTGAAGTGTTTTTGTGCGGTAATCATTCGTTTACGGAAAAATCAAAAAGTTGTAAATTAAAAATTTCCATGTTATTCTTATGGAAAATATTTAATGTTGTAGTTTGCTTGTTTATGGACATCTTTTGGTCAAACTTGGCAAATTTATTTATTTTATACTAAGTTATTACAATTTTACTAACAACACACTTTATTAGCTTCCCTGTCGTAGCAGCAAACCTAGGTACTCGTTTAACCTAATGTTATTTAAATAGATTTAATTGTATATAAATTCAGGCAAATGAAAATTCGCTTAGTCTGCAGGTTTGCTGGGCAACCCAAGTTATAATTAGCCTTTGTTAGCTTGTGCTCATTACCATGGTCACCAACAGCCTCTTGTTCCAGTGTTTGGGGGGAAAATGTCCACCTCAACAAACATGTTGATATAAAGTACCTATACTTTTAAAACATTATTTTTGGCTGACTATCAGCCAGAATTATATCTAAAGCATACCTCCTTTTTCTTTTTGTACCTACAATCAGTTTGAAACCGTCAACTTTTGCATTATTTAAAAATGTTTAAACAAAATTAATAGTTGTTAGGAAATAACCTGCTAATTTAATGTGAAGATTGTCAAATTGCCTAATCCACATCACCATGAACACATACTCATGGTTTTCAAAGACATTCTTCAATGTCAATAAAAAAAGTAACAGAAATATTTTCTATACGTGCTGTGCCTTGGAGGTAATATTTTTTATTTTGAGGTTATATACACTTTTGGAATATAGCAGTTAATCACCACCAAGGAACTTTGTGAGAATTGTGTTGTGAATTGTGTTATGCTCGTATGTTTTATCAAGTATGTAATGTTAGTGTGTGTCGTAGTTTTTACTTGGTAGCTACTATCATAATCTATTTCACCAAAACATCGATTAAGAAAGACTTGTTGGCTTTTTTTAGATGAAGAGAACGCATACTGGTGTAGACTTTAGGAACATTTTAAGTGCTATCAAGTCAAGAGATATTAATGAGTTGAAATCTTTGTTGACAAATAAACAAATTCATTTAATAGGTAAGTTATGCAATTAATCGTATACTTACACTATGCTAATGTTTATTGGCTGGATTTTCTTTTACAAAATGCAATTGTCGGTCGACTCTTTAGTTAAAATACAAGGGAGAAAATATCAAATTATATAATTGATAAGCGACATGCTTGGTAGCCGATAATCCAGTAGCATTGCACTGGAGTATATTTTATAAGTTTTTAGGGTAGTTGATAGTTTTCAAGAACAGAGCCTGTTGTCTGAAATATTACTTGTTTATTCATTAATTTCGTGGTTGCTTAGCATAGACAAATAGAATTAGTCTATGGTTATAGATGGTTCATAAGCAATATTGTGGTTATTTGCCTCTTCTGTGTTGTTGTTTTAGTTATCTCTGAGTTTATCAGGTGTCCACTTAAAATATTTATCATTATGAATGCTAAGTTGTATTTGCTGTCATTGTACTGTTCTTGTTTATAAGTAGTTTATTAATTGAATAAAACCCCGACAGAGGACCAATAGATATAAACACACAACAGAAAGAAAGTATATCAAAACCGTGCCTCCTTTCACATAACCATTTTGCTATGTCAAGCTTACTTCTTAAAACTACAAATGAAATCTTTAAACAACATTTTTTAATCTGGTTTTATAACTCAAACCATAGTCTGGATAATTACAGTTTGGCCAAAACTTCTGTGCGCACGGACGGGTTGCTACTAGCCGAGCTAAAACATACGGGTACCGGTTTTTGGCAGTGCTGAGGGTAGGGGTGAGTGAGTATAAAAAAATGTTCGGATTCCACTATAAACTGTAGGTCCCTTAGTTGCCATTAGCTGTATGGGTATCAATTAACAGCTATGTCTAAGGAATATGTCGGCCTTAGTCACTAACAAGACTACAAGATCGCGCCACTCATCCTACACTCATCTCCATTCATACTTGGCTTAAAATACCTACTTTGTATGGTCGCCATTTCATTGAAGAGAAAAGTAAACAGCAAGACACAAATGTTTTCACAAAAGTACCCCCGCCACCCCCTCGCCGAGACCCGACCAGATCTGGTCGCGCGCACAGAAACTTTGGCCGTACTGTAGGCCTAAAACAAAGCACGAAGAAATTCTTTAGAGATCATTGATTATATTTTGGTGCCATATTTAAAACTCAAACTAAGCCAGCAGATTAAGGTTCAGAAAATTTACTTAAATAAATCACAATATTTCAAGAAATAAACCCAACAACCCATTTACCCCCCATAAGTGAAACTAATATCAATCAAATTTCGAGTTTCACAAACAATTTAAGTTCTTAACTCAGTTTTATAACCACATTCGACATGTTAAAATGTTTTTTTTCACAGACGAGAAACTCGAAACAGTTCTTCATGTGGCTGCCCGACTTGGAGATGGCGATGTCATCAGGACTTTACTGCAGGATCGGCGAGTGGCTCGACTCTTGGACAGTGAGATGTACAATGGCGACACGCCCCTGGTGGTAGCAGTCAAGAGTAACAATGTGGCAGCAGTGCAAATCTTGGCTGACCACGGGGCCGACCTGTGGCGAAGGAAACTACATTCTGGAAATACGATTTTACACTTTGCTGTGAGTCTCTGCAGCTCTGAACTCCTGAAAACACTTCTTAAATACAATCCTCCATCTAGAGTCATCACTAAAACAAATCAATTTGGTGAGAAACAACTTGAAGTTCTTCTACGGCATTTATTTACGAAATAGGCATGCAATTTTGTTAAAAATTTAACGATTAGCGAATTTCCCATATAGGGAATAAGCTATTACCGTAGTACTCATGGTAAGACCTGGACCCGGGACCGATTTTTTTTCGTTTTGAGGTCCCTAGAGGCCAAAAACACCATCCGTTCAAATTCATATATATATATATATATATATTTATATATATATATATATGTGTGTCCGTTAGCACGATAACTCAAGCAAAAATGATCCGATTTTGATGAAATTTGGTATAAACGTGTAAACCTACGTTTATTCGAACGAGTTCGCGAACCAGCATGATCGGACCATGGGAACAGGGGTTTATGGGGGCTTTTATGGGGTAAAAATGAGTTTTTCCTATTTTTGACCCAAAAAACATAAAATTTTGAAATTTCTTTCCAAACTATTTTGTAGAGCTTAAAAAAACAAATAATTTAGTATATTGAAGCGTTATAATGCGCCTAATGGTTACGGAGAAAATTCCAATTTAAAATTCCCATGTTATTCTTATGGAGAATAAGTAAACCGTTGTAGTGTGCTTGTTTATTAACATATTTTGCCCAAATTTGGAAAATGTTTTTATTTCTTACTAACTATTAACATTTGCATAAAAAAACACTTTTACCCTCCCTGTTGCAGCAAACCTAAGTATGTGTTAAACTGATTCTATTTAAATAGGGAATAAATGTGATATTTTTAAGGAGACATTTTAGTCTAAATCCAATCAGGCAAATGGAAATTCGCTTAATCTGCAGGTTTGCTGCGGCGGGGGTATTTTATATTTAATAATGTATCTTGCAGTACAGATTCTGATGGAAATCAATATACCTACCATTGATGTTTTTAATCGTTAGAAGTAAATTAAAATTCATATTATATTGGCAAATAGTCATTCTGTAATGAACTGATTCGGTCTGTAGTTAGTTAATTATTGACAACACAAGCTAAATACTTACTAATTGCACTCATTCATTCAATATACCTCTATTTGTAAGACGTGTTATAATAGAGTCTAGATTTACCCAAACTATATGGAAAGAAATGTTGCTCCACTGTAGTATATATAGGTACACACATATTCAACACAAGGTAATTTTAAAAATCACTATACCTTTACATTCTTTTCAGGTGAAACAGCTTTCGATATTGCCGTCATGACATTTTCTCCAAACGTACTAGTTATGCTGGATGCTGGTGTTGACTGTCCAAAGCCAAACCATCTCACAGGACGCAATGTGCTTCACACATGCGTTGCTTACAATAAATGTGGAGTACTACGACAACTGCTTGCGTTAAAGAGCTCAAATGAACTGACGAACCTTGCTGACAAGAGAGGAGATACTCCTCTGATGTTGGGGATAAAATCGTCCTGCCTAGAGTGTATCCAGACGCTTGTGAGCTATTCAAAAATATCTAAAGACTTTAATGAGGTTACTGGTGAAAGTCTCTTACATATGGCGGTGAAAACTGATAGGAATGATATTTTTTCATTAGTCCTGGCGTCTTCTCACGAACATGTCATCAGTTACAAAGACTACGAGGGAAGAACTCCTCTTCTACTTGCGATTGAATGTAATAAGAACCAGTGTTTAAAGAGATTATTCAATACCCAAAATGTGTTTGAGAAACATGGAGTAACTAAAGAAACTATTTTACATACTGCAGTTAGAGTAAACAATACAGAAGCTCTGAGATTGCTGATGAAAAATAATAACACTGGTGGTGCTTGGTGTTTCTCTCAGAGAAGAAATGATGGGAAGACTCCCTTCTGGCTGGCTGTTGAAAATGATAACGCACAGTTGGTGGGTGAAGCGAGGAAACTAGGGTGGGTAGACATTGACAAACTCAATCCTCAAGGAGACTCGTGTACATATGTTGCTGCCGCTTGCGGTCACATAAAGGTACTAAAGGCATTGCTACTTTCTAAAAAATTTTACAGGTTTTGCCGAACCTACGATATAAGTCCTGGCTTCAAGGAAGAAACAATCGTCAAAGAAGCTGAAATTTCATGTGATATATACAGCTCCGATATATTTATTCTCACTGGTGAAGTCAGAGGAAACACTTCTCACTCTTGGTTCCCACAGACGATTTTGAATGTGAATAAAAATAATAAAAGACATATTTTTCATGCGTGTGCTCTTGCAGGTAACATTCTTTGTTTGGATTTTATGTTCACTTTTGTACAGAACTTCGTGGGAAATCACCTGGCCTTATTTGACCTTCCAGGCATATTTGGAAACACACCACTCCATTTAGCAACTAGAAATGATTTGGGTGGTCCTCAGTGCGTTTATTACTTGCTTTCACAGCATGCAAACATATCCAGTCACAACAAAAAGGGAGAATCCGTTCTTGAATCCATTTTAAAAAACACAGAGCATTCGACTGATCTCCTCGTGCGTATTCTTGACAAAGGGATGATTTACAACCATGAGGCAAGAGGGCTCCAGGAAGAGAGTGAGTCTGTTTTGTTTGATTTTTCCATCTTAAGACCAGCTGGACCAATAATGAAAGTAACGAAACTCTTTTATGATAAGTTACATGGTGAACAAAGGCATAAATTGTTAGAACATCAGCTATTTAAGACGTACGTCAATTTAGTGCTAGAAAAAGTCAATTACTTTTTTATGATCAGATTTTTACTATCATGCTGGTGTACACTACTGTTATCAGTATATATTATACTTTACATCCACGCACAGTTTGAATCGCCTGTTATTAGGTTTATGAGATATTCCCTCAGTTTTTTCAATCTTGTTAGCCTTTTATTTTCCATCCCTATCTTGCTCTTCAATGAAATGAACATTGTGGGACTCCTCACACTAACACTGATAGTCTTACCTAGTCTCATGGTTCTGGGATTAACTGTATTCCCACACGGATCAGAGATTTCGTTTGAAGTCGCAGCAATCACTGTCCTCTTAGCATTCCTCTCCTTGGCAATGTATTCCACCATAATATTCAAAACAATCAGCCATCAAGTGGCAATGTTGACACAAGTTGTTTACCAGATGCTCAAGTTCAGTTCAACGATGTTTTGTGTTTTGGGGGCATTCTCATTAGCTTTCTATTGCATATTTAACAACAGCTTTTATTTTGTAAGCCCTCTTAAGTCATTTCTTTACACTACATTTGTGTTGCTTCTAGCTGATACATCTGAGAGTTTTAATTTCTTCCGAAGGAAACATTTCTCCTATAATAAAACTAACGTCGACAACTCTACAGTACCAGAATACACAGGGTTTGCTGGTCAGCTAGATCTTTATTTTGAAAGCACAATAATACTTGCTTTCATAATCATGGCAAACCTTGCGTTGTTAAACGTTTTGGTCAGTTTGGCTGTTCGTGATGGAAAGACTTTAGAGACTAGTGGTTCAATTTTTCAAAGGCATTTACAGATTCACTGGCTGTCTAACTTGGAGTTGTTTCTCCGTAGCTCAATTTACAAATCAATATGTAATACTCCTTTGACATACCTTTTGGGTATAGTTTCTTCAAAAACTGTTATTGATGTTGGAATCATATATTATCCAATGTTTGAGAAGAAAAGTGCTATACTCTCCCAGAAATATGTCCGGGAACTCAGAAGATCTCTTGCCAGATCAAAAATAACACGAGCAACAAATCTGTTCCTAAATCTGGAGGCTGTTGATGAAATTATTTTGAGAAGATCCGAACTAGGAATGAATTAATCAGCTTTAAAATTTTTAATGGTTTTTTATAGTTTTTATTGAATCAAATATGGCTCAGTAAGCAGACAGATAGTGTTAAGTGTTATTTGCAGATCATAGTCAGTGAAACTATACACACTACTATGAATTACTACACAATCTGTGTCATTATCCAATATGAACAATATATTTAGACATTGTATGAAAACTTTGTAAAGATAATGAAAAGCATGCCAAGCGATTATCATCAGAATTATGTTGTATTTTTTACGATAAAGTATTCCTGAATAACAGGTTTTACTAGGTAAAATAGTCCAACGATTATTCAGTAGAATTGGCTCACCCATGTTTTGCTATAAAGACAACATTTTTAAGGCTTACATTGTAACTAATCGTAACATATTATTAATATGCACAACACAAACATATTATTAAATCATGTCCATATTGTGCCTGTTTTAACGATGAGTTTGGCAAGCTGCAAACTTTGAAATATGTTGTCTTCCCAACATAACATGCAAACCAACGCCAATACTACTGAAAACCTGTTCGTTGAACTACTTGACCTGGAAGATCAGGGGACAGAAAAATGAATTTTGAATAAGCATATCATGATATTTTTAATATTTATATTTTCATCTCTATAATCTAAACCAAGCCAATCAAATCAAACCAATTTTTATTATAAGTAGTTTCAAATTTATTAGTGATCTGGGAAAAGTGTTGACACTCATTTTTTTTTTTCTTTCGGTAACTTTTATAAAGAAAACCAATGTATTATTAGCAAAAATAACATGACGTAGTTGGTCAAGCTTACAGTTGGCTTAAACACAATAATATTTATGTTATAGGGGGGTTTGGGAAAACTAGGTATGCGGTCTCAGGTCTCCTAGTGGAGCGGAGCGAACAAAGAAGGAAACAATCTTCTTTTTAAATGAAAATTGTTAATTGAAAAAATAATACATTATTATAACATAAATTAGGAAAACATGTTATAGCCAATACAATACTTCATCGTACAAGTATCTCATGTCCAACTTTCCCTATTGCAAATGGCTTTAGCAAGCTATCAAAAATAGTTCCCAAATTGGTAATTATATAGACCTCCGGACCTCACGCGAAATAATATTTTTTCAAAATGGTCGAAATTTCACGCTGATTTCAAATATGATTGTCGTTTTTTGCGGAAACGTCCCGTTTTTCCGAAAAATGGGAAACATCTTTTTTGCTCAAAACCCATGTTGTGGGTACTCAAATTGTGCGGAATTTCCTCCTATTACGATCGGACCACTATTAAGTAAAATATCACAGGAAAAGCGGGCCGCTGGCTACTTATATACTGCCGCATAGCGCTAGCATTGCGGGTGACTCTAAGCCATTGTAGAATACGCTTTTTTTGGGTTAGGATTGGTTAGGTTAGTTTATCATTAACATGAGTATTGTAAGTAAACGAACCTAAAATTGTGGAATGCGGGTTTTATTTTAGGTTAGGATTGGTTAGGTTAGGTTCGGTTAGTTTAGTTTAGGTTGGGTTAGGTTAGTTTAGGTTAAGTTAGGTTAGGTTAGTTTAGGATAAGTTAGGTTAGATTAGTTTAGGTTAGGTTGAGTACCCACAACATGGGTTTTGAGCAAAAAAAGATTTTTCATGTTTTCCCATTTTCCGGGAAAACGGGACGTTTCCGTAAAAAACGACAATCATATTAATTGAAATCAGCGTGAAATTTCGACTTTTTTGAAAAAAAAAATAATTTCGTGTGAGATCCGGAGGTCGATATAATCATCCTCAAATTTTTCAATAGTTTCAAACAAGCTATTTAATTTTTTGTTGAATAAAAGAAATATTTTCCATCAAAATGAAATAGTCATTGAAGTGTTAAAAGGAGCATGTAAAATAATTAAAAATCATTTATATGGACAACATTATTAATCTAAGTTCTTATTATTTCGATCATAAATTTAAGTAAATTGTTACTGTGTCTAATAGTTTGTCTATGCTAACAGGCAAAGTTGATTATAATAAACTCAGTTTTCAAAATAAATAAAAAATAAATAGAGAGTATTATACCAATGCAAGTAGACTTCCCATCCCATTGTACATTTTGAAGCTCGTTTTTCATGTCTACTTCATGTCCGGTGACACTGGTGGCATGTTTTATCAATGCTTGTGGCTAGTGTCGACGAAATTTTGTTTCTATTACCTATTTTAGAATTAATTTCATGATTTGTGCTTTATTGTTTAGTTATATAACTAGAGAATGGATTATTATTTATGATTATATCGTTTTATTTGGTAAAACGGGGTAAACTATAAAGCTCTGTCCGGTGTACTGTAGATGTCATGTTTTGTTAACAATTTGTTTCTTGTCATTTCAGTAATGTAAAACCCCGTTTTACCAAATAAAACGATATAATCATAAATAATAATCCATACTCTAGTTATATAACTAAACAATAAAGCACAAATCATGACATTAATTATTCTAAAATAGGTAATAGAAACAAAATTTCGTCGACACTAGCCACAAGCATTGATAAAACATGCCACCAGTGTCACTGGACATGAAGTTGACATGAAAAACGAGCTGAAGCCTATTTTATCGTTAGTTCAACTGAGGTTCAACTAACGATAAAATAGGCTTCAGCTGACAGCTGTTCCATAAGGATGGGAATTGGGAAATCTACTAAGGTAGTGCCTTTACCCACAGATAATATAACCCCTACTAGGGGTTAATTATCTGTGCTTTACCATAGACAAAGTATAATCATACTTAAAAAAACATACTCCCGTGTTACCTATGGTATAATGGTCTGTGCTTTTACGCAGAGATCTATGGTTTGAGTGTTAACATAGGGCGCGTTCTGGGAACATGTACCGGTGCACCGGTGCATGTTCCCAGAACGCGCTCATAGATAAACCAGATGTTTTATCTATGGTGTTAATTATGTGGCATTATGTAGAGTAGTATTATACATCGATGGATGTCTAGTCTATGTCGTCTACTGTGGTAGAAAACGGAACTACCCGGGATGTTGGAACACTCCACGATTACCACTGAGCTATACCAGTGGAACTGCGGAACACTCGGAACCGAACTGATAATGGAATGAATAAGAATAAGTGTGATTGTGAGGATGGCCTAGGGTTCACTACGATACTCGGACAGAATACGATTGAATCGATCTATCGAGAGTCTGCAATTACCCTATCGATATTGAATTGTGTACACTATCGATATCGGATTCGAGTTTGTGTTGTTGGATCTGAGTCTGTGAGTATTGAGTTTTCAATTTCAATCGGATTCAAATCATCTACTCGGTCCACGGAATAGGCACACGGAAGGGACTAAGGCTAAAGGTGTAGTGACGTCATATCTCTAGTGGCTAATGTCTTCTCTTGAGGCGACACGATTACCGTAACGAAACGATGTGATTTCAGCGGCGTTCGTGGCATAGTTGGTAGAGTTTTGGATTGGTGTTCAGGAGGTCCCGGGTTCGAATCCCGCTAGTAGCACTAACTTTTTGTCAACAAATTTTTCATATCAGCAAGTTTGGTTGGTTAGGTTAGGTTATGACAGTTAAACTTTATAATACTAAATTCTAAAATTAATTTTATAATTAATTAAAAATTATAAGTAATTATTAATTAGATTTTTATATTATCAGCAAGTCTGGTTGGTTAGGTTATGTTATGACAGTTTAGTAAATTAAAAATTTATTTTATAATTTGAAACAATATTTTATAACTAATAAGTTAATTTTACGACTAAAAATTAAAAAAAAATAATAATTTTAAATTATTTCAACTTAGCAGTTCTAGCGGCGAACGCTGACACTACAAGATATGTTAGCCTTAGTCCCTCCCGTGTGCCCCACCGCTCAATCCACCTCTACATACTAACTGTAGGCAATGGCAATAGGCATTGAGATTCTGGTAGGCACAGTAGTTAACGTACACAGTAGTTTGTTTCTGCTGACTTCTGACAAAGCCTACTTAAAAGTAGGTAGTGTCGAAAGTATACCATTTCATTGCAAGAAATACGAATTTATATAATTAAAAGTTGCAACTACAAAATAATAGTGAATTTTAATAAATTAACTAATAACTATTAATTGCAGTTTTAACGAATTGGATCAGTTGCTGAAGAGGTCTAAATCCGAAGGTCTAATTAGATCTTCGGCACACATCCACACGTGTCTGTGTGTGTGTACAGACCTATGAAGTCCAATTTAATGTCATTTTGTTTGTAGGTCCTTGGCATCTCCAGGCATTTTTATAATTTTGAAAAATTTGAATTTCGATGATTTTCCATAGAATACAGGAAAAATACAATTTTCTAAGAAACGGCCCGAACGATTTTAAGTTGATAAAAAATTAGTATGTTACCTATAGGCCCTAGTGTTTTAAATTTTGAACAAAATGGTACATCTCCCATACCTGTAAAAGTTACAATTACTTTCCCATTATATAACAAAAAATCAGATTTTTTAAAAGCAGCCGGTTCTTATTAAATTTTGTTTGTTATGGTCCTCAAAATATGAAAAGAAGTGTATAATAATACCAAATGTTTAATAAGGTGTATAATAATTCTAAACAAAATAATACAACCCCCATTTTTGTTTGAATTTTAATTTGTAATTGCTGTAACAGTTGCAGTTCAAGTAAAAAGCCTTTAGCACCATCTGTTCAATTCATATACAGAAGAACCTTGATAACAAGTCGACCTTGATAACAAGGGTTATTTTCAGATCCCCTTGAAATTATTTGACCCCTAATCATTTGTAATTGCAAACCTCGATAAGAAGTCAACCTTGATAACAAGACTTATTTTATAATCCTTATAAGAGTCTTGTTATCAAGATTCTACTGTAAATTATAGCCTATACCATAAATAAAACTTACTCCCTTAGACTTGTGCTGCTTTAGTTTAGTCTATGCCTATACACATATAATTCAAAGTCAAAATTAAGAGTCAAAATAATCCAATTATGATGAAATTTGTTACAAACGTGTAAAACAACGTTTGTTGTAGCGTTCCGTTCGCGAACCAGCATGATCGGACTATGAGCAGAGGTAAAAATGGGGTTTCCTCATGTTTGACCTTATAAAAATTTCAAACAACTTTGTAAATAATTAATTAGATGTAAAAAAAAATTATCAACCTATTTTGCAGATAGCTAAATGGTTACCAGTAAGTTGAAAAAAAAACATGAAAATAACTTGTTATTTTGAAGTAGATTATTAGGTAAACTTGATGGTTGTATTTTAGCTTGTTTATGGATATTTGAATTTAATTTTAATTTGTTATACAATTCAATACCAATCTAAGTACATTTTACCAAGAACACACTTTACCTTCCCTGTATCTTATAACGCTATATCAGCAAACATACATATTTTAAAACAAGAAAACAAATCTTACTTTGATTGAAATGGGTGATGAGTATATACTACACTTTTCAGTACCTACCGAGCTTACATGGCAATTAAATATCTTTTAAAGATTTTATTGAAGGAAAGACTTATTTTAAATAATTATATTCCCACTTGGTGTGAACAATTTAAGTTTTGTTGACTGATAGGCCTACAATGATTAGTGCACTTTATAATCAAGCTTCAACTTTATACTTGACTGTGTGGTAATTTATAATAGAATATATATAAAAGATACTTAACACAAAACGATAAGAGAGTATTTTAGTATTTGTTTTGATAGAAGAAGTAAAATATCAATAGGGTTATCCCAATCAGGGCTCTCAATTAATTATTTAGTTTTTATTATTATATAAAATTGCTTTTCTATCATTTGTGTTCACTTATTTACATTAAGTTTCTCTATAACCTCTACAGAGAGGACAAGAACACAAGAATGCAATACAAGAATACAAGAGTACTTTATTTTACAATTTTTAAGATTGAAAAAGGCATCAATACAATATGTTATCGATTAAAAATCTTTGTTGATTGGAGTCCTTGCAGTAGAAAGATGATTTAACTTGTAACGAAGTCGTTGCTGCCAAGACAAATATTCATCAATGCTTTAGAAAGGTCTAAGTAACAGCCCCTGTGATGTTCCTTCTTCAGTCTTCTAGAACAGAGAAACTTTACATGTTATTTAAATAAGGAGGCTCGTGTAGGATGAATGAACAATAAATTCTCCTCGGCTAGAATGCAATGTTAAAACTTTAACGTGTCTATTTGGGTTGAATGGAGCATGTTCTTGAGAAATTAACATTTGCAGATAAACTAATGCTAAAATTCATTGAACATCCACAACATTTTATTCACTTGTATTTAAGTACAAGCTAGATAGCAGTTTTATAAATTAACATAATTTAATTAAAATGTCCCTTTTGACCAGATTTATTTCTACCTCAAATCATGGTTTTCTCAGTAATTAACATTTTCAACTTCATTTTTTTATGAACAACGACAGCTTATGGTTTACAAAAAATATAACCCATACCTAATTTAAAATCAAGACTAATGCAGGTTTATTTTAGCAATAGCAATGGTTTATCTGTATTAGGCCTAAGCCTAATTTTAATTTTAAATAGTGCCGCAGATGCTTTTATTTATGATCACATTACCTTAATCAAATATATTTGCATGAAATTGGTTAAAGCTTATATGCCTATTCTACCAATTTTGCTGTCCTGTTATTTCATCTTCCAACTAAATTAATTCTCTAAATTATTTCCCACATAAAAATACTATAATGCAGTGGGTGGTTCCAAGGGGTGGAGGGCTGTAGGAGCAAGAGCCCTCCCCATTAGAATCTGAGTCTGGAAATATAAGTTTAAACATACATTTTGTCATATATAGGTGACAGAGGTTTTGGAACACAGTTAGTTCTAGAAGTAAAAACAGTTTTAAAAATAGCAGATTTTCCTAAGGAGAACCCCTGAAACCCCCTCCTAATGTTAATCACCCCTGTTAGCCCTTCACAACGTTCTAATCTAGAACCACCACTAATATGACAACCCTACATGGGATCAGAGGCTGTATAGAAAATGTTACTACTATAAATAAACAATTTAAACAAATAAATGTCTTGCCTGTTCACCGCTGGATTTAATTATTACGTAATAGAGAGATCTGTGACCACTCTCCAATGCAATTTGAGAATGTTGGTTAGAGGTACGCAAACTTGAAATCTGACTAGGCCTAGAGTCGGTTGATTAGGGTATGAACCTGCAAAAACATTAAAAAGCTTATAGTCAATCAATTTTAAAACATCAATCTACAATTCCAAAGAGAATAGCTAAGATATTATCGATGGAATAACTTAAGTTAGGCCTACTTACGGTATTACATAATGGAATAACTTGTTACATAATATAGCCTAAACTATCGAATAAACTTAAAATATAGTGAGTTTAATCAATAGCCTATTAAGTTATGTAGGCCTATAAGTTATTAAATTTCAATATTGATTTTATGTTAACTTATGAGGATTCTCAAGTAGATTATCGCCATTGACTACCATATATACCTACCCAGGTAACTTGTATATAGTAGGTAGGCCCTATATATAACTTAGTCAATGTTATCGCCCACCAATCTATAACAGTGTGCTGTAGCTTTAAAATTAACTTAACTTAGGTTAAGTAGCTGTAACAAAACTTACAAAAAAAGGATACGATTACAAATTGAGGTCCAAGTGTAAATTTATTTGTTTAAAAACAATTACTATATAGCCTACTTATAAACTCTTGTGTGTATACAATTTACATACAGTAGGCCTTGTTTGTAATTATCTTAAACTACCGTACCGGTAACTTAAACTAAGCCAAAGCAAAATGTTAGGGTACTTTGGTATTATCCGGAAGCCAATTATTTTAGAGGGATTTTTTACTGGAGAGTCCAAAAATAACTACCGGTACATACTGTAATAGGAAAAACCTGCTTTAATTGACTGACTGTCCAAATTTGACATGATTACAATTAGCGGCCTTTGAGTTCTGTCTCTCAGAAAAAAAGGCAGCGATGTCGGCGAGGATTGAGTTTGAATGCGTCGCTGCCGCTATACTCCGCCAAGTAGGTATGCAGCACGCTGCGGCGGTCATGTTAGGTTGGATTATCATAAATATGTTTATAAAACTTTCCCCGTTTCGTTATGAATTGAACTACTTATATACCAAATGAGTCATACTTTCGCCCGCCAAATACCCCAGATACAGGTGGTAACAGGTGATACATGCTATGGTCAATGACCTGGCTAAGTACTTGAGGGGATATGGCGTGCAAAAGTAATTTATGACGTATCTGGTATTGTAAGATTCGTAAAGAAATGAGGAAAGTCCTGCAAACAAACATATTTGTGAAAACCCAACCTAACATAACTGCGCTGTGTAAGGGTGGCCTCCGGATAATACCAAAGTACCCAAGTTAACCGCCACAGCACGTGTTAACGAGTCTTTATTGAAAAGCATAAGTAACTTAAATAAATAAATTATTCAAGTTATATCAAGTGAAAACTTCTACTGATAGGCCTACGATAGAAATACCAAACTGAATTTTCATCTGATAGTAAGTTAGGCCTATAAGTTAGGCCTAGGCTATTAGGTTCTCTACAGACTAGGCTACCTATCGATTCAATTGCTCTGACAACTGCAAAAAATTGCAACTAACCAGCATCTTAGGAAGCGACTTAAGTTAAGCTTTCATAACTTTAATGTTCTTAAGAAACCGATTAAATCTTACTGATAATCCTAAAAATGTTTTCAAACTTCATCAAGTAGGCATAAGTCCCTACGTTAACCTTACCGCCACTCCTCAGAATCTTCTGATTAATACTTTCAAGGCTTAGAGGTTAATTATCTAATCTATTTAATTTTAGTCAATTATCAAATCAAGGAGACAATAACATGAATGGATTTATTAGGTAATAGCATAATAGCCACGAAGGTAATAATATATTTCTACCTGTACTTCTCGTGGAAAAAGCAAATCCATTTGATGCCAGACAAACATACCTAATTGGTAAAATTCTTCCTTTAACCTTACATAGCCCGAAATTTCCTTGGCGTATAACAAAATCTGTTGTGTGTTGCACAAGCTTCCATCTCTTTTAAAATTAATTCCATTTTAAAATCTAATTTACGTGTATCGTGTACCTGGCCAACCCAACAACTATATAGCTTAAGTCACACAAATTAATGACAATGTCAACAATAACAACATAACACGTAAACGTAAACAAACATAGGATACGATACGATACGAGATACGATGATTCCGTCGTCATAGAACCGATTCGGCGATTCGACTTCGAGAAAGATCGCAGACTCTCGATAGATCGATTCAATCGTATTCTGTCCGAGTATCGTTCGTAGTGAACCCTAGGCTATCCTGATTGTGATGTTTGACGTTTTCTGTTCTATTTAAACATAACCTTTAAAAACTGTCAAAGTGTCAAATCATAATAATAATACAGATTTATAACTTATTTAGAAAAGTTTACTGCAATGATTTTAATGACTGTAACTTAAACTATATTGTTTTATGACGTGCAGAAAAGTGATGACTAAGACCTAGTTCTACTGAGAAGAGTTTAAATTACCTAACCTTATAATGAAGGCTATAGCCGTGTCAGTGTGGATTTTCATAAATTTGGTTTTCTTTGGTATGTGTGGATACATCTATCTATTATGGTCCCAATATTGGCATTACATATCAAGACACCAAAGAACAGAAACGTATGTTAAGAAAGTTGACAATAGACCCATAGTGGATTACTTTCAGGTAGGCCTAGGTTAACAAATAACTTGAGTACCTTAATTTTCTCAAAGATAGTTTTTATTTTTTATACCTTACATAAACCATAAGATAAACGTATGACAAACGTACAGATAAATCATTCCAAATTGATTGGTAAATAGTGAGATATAAATTTGGTGAAGGATTAACCAACAAACCCCTAAAAAGGCCTTACGTCTTAACTTACATTCCACGTCGGCTGCACTTTACTTTAGGTCCTACACTCATTCAAATGAAAATATCGATCGATATATCGATTAATTGATTGTTTAATTCGATATATATATTTTGGTTAGTTAGGTAAGGTTAACCTAACCTAACTAACCAAACGATATGTCGAATGAAACAATCGAATAATCAATATTTTCATTCGAATGAGTGTAGGACCTAAAGTAAAGTGCAGCCTCCGCGTCTTCTCCGCGATCAGTCGATCGGGGAATCGTAAATTTTCATCGACCCAATGCCTGATAACTATGCCTGGGTAACTTAACAAGCCATGCCTATTTAATTGATAAGTTAAGATGAATAGGCTACCTAACTTAATTTGAACGCCAGCATTGATAGTACAGTGTTCTAATGGGTGTATTTTTTGGCCAAGTGGGTATTATCCAAGTTACTGGACAAGAGAGAGCACCATAAGTTAGGCCTACTGTAGTATATTTGATGATTTTGTATTCAATATATTTGTAAAACAGCGTTTCTTGTAGGAAACCAGAGTTTTATGAAATGTAAATGTGTGTTAGTGTGTGTGCACATCACACCATATCACACCACATCTGTGATGTCATATCAGGTTATTTTAATAAATTCCCATTGGCTGCCGCGATCACCCTGTACCCGTGTAGTTATCTAACCACTACGTCAGTCTGTCCTAGTCCAGCAACCGTTACGCCTCTATCCCGGTCGGTGCAGCCCGTGGTATTAACTAATTATACGTAGTTTTTAGTTTCACTAGTCCCGTCTCCTGTCAAGTTATGACATCGTAACAGTGGCGACGTCACACCTACATTGTGGATTCAACTCATGTCTCAGATTGTCAAGTGTGATAATATGCAACTTTTAAAGAATTCACGTAGGTATTGGGTACTGTTCCTCAGAGAACCTGTGATATATTATCGGATTCGAATGAATAACTATATGTACCGGCAAGGTAAATGTACCAGTAGTTGACACTTTACAAATCTAACTCTAATAATAAGTAAGAGTTCCTGTTAAAGTTCTTTTGTGTTCAATATCTTAGAAAAACTTCAGATGTTTTCCTTAATTTTATTGCAACATACCCTTGGTTAGCTATGTGTTTGAAATTTAGTGGAGCTACAAAGTTCACTCTACCCATTGAAGCCTCTCATCTTATGATTTCTTCTGGCTTTGGACTAGGTACAGGGTTGGTAATAACTTTATTTGCAACATAATTTAGGCCTACTTAATTTCAACGTCCTTAGTTGATTTATATAATACTAGCTGTACCCGCGGGCTTTGCCCCGTTTTACTTCATAAGTGAGTTCGTTCGCATGGCTCAATCACGTCCTGGTTGAAGTTCGTTCGCTACGCTCACTCACCTTTAGGTTGGAGCTTGTTCGCTGCGCTCACTTGCCTTCAAGTTAGCTCGTTTGCTACGCTAACTCACCTCCAGGTTGAAGTTCGTTCGCTACGCTCACTCACCTTTTGGTTGAAAATTAGCTGTTGTCATAAATTTAAAAAAATAATAGTTCTGCACCCTGTTGGTAATCCTTGTAACGTTAATGCTATTGCACATCATAGAACAGAACCAACTTGTTTAATTGAAACAGCTGTTAAGATTCATTAATTCCATTTAAATATTAGTACTCATAAGGTTAACATGGGAAACTCCAGAGCCACTGGGGCGGAGCCCGAGAGTCCGATAAGAATGAAAACAACTTAGTTTTCCTATTTAATGCCTAAAGAATCAGTGTACCAAATTTCAGCCTCCTAGGTAAATGGGAAGTGGGAGAATTAGTGATGAGTGAGTCAGTCAGTGAGGGCTTTGCCTTTTATATATATAGAAGATAATTATTAATATAGATGTTATTTCAACTTAGTTTTAGCGTATTTCCCTATAGGGAAGTACATACCGTAGCTATTACCGTAGGTCTCATGGTAAGACCTAGGCCCGGGACCTATTTACTTTTTCATTTTGATGTCCCCAGAGGCCAAAAACAGCATTCGTTCAAATTTTTATATGTTTACCGGTATACAGTATATCTATATACAGGGTGATTGATATAAGTGTGCCAGCCGTTTTATTCGATAACCATAAGAGATATAAGAAAAAGTTAAATGGTAAGTTCCTTGGATTTTTTATTTACAAAATTGTAGTCGAGTCGAAAAAAATATTTTAGCCGCCATTTTTCCAATATGGCCGCCAACTTAAATTTTTCTTATGGAACACCCTGTATTTTATGATGTACTCCGGTAGAAAATGTAGTTTTAAGACAATTTTATTCTTGTGATTTTTTTCATAAACCTAACCGTTTCAAAGATAAATAATGGTTTAAGTTGTGAAATTTCTAATAGTTTTCGAATAAAACAGCTGGCATGCTTGCTTAGGCCTTTATTGAAACTCTTTCTCATGCCGAAATTTCAAAACTTTAACCATTATTATCTTTGAAACGGTTAGGTTTATGAAAAAAATCACAATAATAAAAATCGTCTTAAAATTACATTTTCTACTGGAATACATCATAAAATACAGGGTGTTCCATAAGAAAAACGCAGAGGATACGCGTCCGGTAACCGGACGTGGATTAGGCGTCCGGCAGTTACTGTCATAACCTAACCTAACCAACCAAACTTGCTGATAGTGAAAAAAATCAAATGAAGGTTCAATTCTCTTCATAACATAAAATTATAAATGCCAAAAATTCTAACAAAAGATGTACAGTTAAGAAGAAATTACATTCAAAGCAAAATCTGTGACAAAAAGTTAAAGTTACCGATAGGTTTCGAACCGGGAACCTCTCGCATATCAGTCGAGCACTCTATCCACTACACCACGAACACTGATTGCTGATCATCGTATCATTGTGGTAATGGCGTTCCGGGACCCCCTACCGGACGCCTAATCCACGTCTGGTTACCGGACGCGTATCCTCTGTGTAAGAAAAATCAAAGTTGGCGGCCATATTGGAAAAATGGCGGCCAAAATATTTTTTTCGACTTGACTACAATTTTGTAAATAAAAAATCCAAGGAACTTACCATTTAACTTTTTTTGATATCTCTTATGATTTTCAAATAAAACGGCTGGCACACTTATATCAATCACCCTGTATAGAGAGATATATTTATATGTGTGTCCATCCGCACGATAACTTGAGTAAATTTTGTCCGATTTTGATAAAATTTGGTTTGAAGGTGTAAGGCGGGATAAACTTGAACAAGTTCGCGAACCAGCATGATCGGACCATGGGAACGGGGGTAAAAATTTGTAGGTATGGGGTAAAAATGGGTTTTCTCATTTTTTACCCTTAAAACAAAAAATTTATCAATTTTTCTCCAGACCTTTTTAAAGAGCTTAAAAAACCAAATAATTTAGTATACCAAAGTGTTTTTGTACGGTAGAGAAAATTCAAAAAATTGTTAATTTAAAATTCTCATGTTATTCTTATATATAGAATATTATAATATGTTGTAGTTTGCTTGTTTATGGATATATTTTGATCAAACTTGGCGGATTTATTTATTTCATACTAAGTTATTAAACTTATAATAAAAAAACACACTTTATTAGTTTCCCTGTAGCAGCTAACCTAGGTACTCGTTAAACATAAATTTGAATTTAATAGATTAATTGAAAATCAATCCAGGCAAATGGAAATTCGCTAAGTCGGCAGGTTTGCTGCAGTGGGGGTATTTTAACTTTAGATTAATGGTTAATGATTTACAGGCCTCTCATCTATTGGTACAGCTAACACAAGCTTGTTCCGATAGAAGATGATAGGGGTGTCATCTTTTGGGGCGCAGTCAATGTGTAAACATTTTTGTGAAGATAACACTATTGCCTTTAGGAATATGTGATATTTTAGTACACAGTTATTATGGTTGAACCAAAGAAGCTTCTGACCAGTAGTTGACAGGGGTGTCAACTACTGGAACATACCCTGTACTCTTAGGCTTGAACTCTTATTTTCTTAGTAAACTTACAGTTAATTTTTATCAACCAAACTAAAGCCAAAAGATCTAAATTATAGGCAATGGTTTGTATTAAACTTTTATGATTTTAAGTATAATACAATGCCACCTACAAAGGGGAGTATGCCTTTCTATAGCCAAGATCAAATTACAGAAGGCTGTTGAAGACATGACAGTAGGAAAAATATCAGTGGCTAGTGCGGCAAACCAAATCAGAATATTAATTTATACTTTCTATTAAATTTTAAATGTTATAGTTTCTATATCTAAACCAAAAATATTTGGAAATATATTGTAGCCTTCATAAGAATGGTTAAAAGAATCAAAGTGTCAACTACTGGTACCGTACGCTGGGTGTCAACTATTGGTAAAATCCAAAAATTTGTGTTAATTCAATAACAATGTATAGGCCTACATTAGTGTAACGTACAAAGTCTAATGTTTATTTATCACTAATTGTTTTCTAAATTCCATTGAGAATTTTGATTTGAGAATTTTATAATTGTATTTCCATCCTTAAAGTGTCAACTACTGTTACGTTTACCTTATCTGATTCGGTTATTATTCCATAGATTATTTAAAACCATATGACAAATTAATAAAAACAATAACAAAAACATTAAAGAAGCTTTTTGTGTCTATTTTATCCGTAGTTAAATTAATTATCGTAAGTAATTACGATTACAAATATAGGAAACCAATTAATTTCATAATCCTATGCAGTTATCATATTAACAGTAGGCTATTAAAAACTGAGTTGATTTTCTAAAAGAACAAGTTTGTTCCCGTAAAAAGCTAAAGCATAAGTTAGGCTTTAGTTCATTTATCATAGTCAATGGCTTTGTTGATGTTTTTTTTATTTTTCAAATATTAATTGTTTTTGTTATATTATCGTTTTTGTTGATTGAATATCAATAAAACCGTAAACAAATCGTAATTCAATTTGATGTTTAAGTGAAAAAACCTTACATAGGTACCGGTAGTGAAAAGAACATAGGAACGATATATTGAATTGGATGATAATCAATATTGTTAGAAATGGGATTACCCACGCTGATCATCTACGCAGACTCTCTGTTCACATTAGACGTAGTCGACCAGTTGGTGTGAACAGAGTTGAACAGTAGCATGAGCATCGATTTTCAAATTCCTTTCCCAGCTGACGTGAGCTAGGTGATGACCGGTAGGGCTGACTTCTGAGAAACAACTTTAACCTATAAGCCACACACCCTATCGGTACTGTAATCAGCCAAATGAGAAGGTCTAATGAAGAAGATGGAGGTGTGACGACTGACGAGTCTTGTAGGTGGAGGACCTGAGAGGAAAAATCAAGAAGATTACCGCAGGCTACAACGAAGATCGGAGTGTGTTTGTGCTTCAGAGACTATTGGCAGTATGTCAAAATTAAACTAAATTTATAATGATCTAAATAAAGTCATATAATTTGTTATTAACTTATTATTAAGTTTTTTATTTTATTTTCTTGTAAATTAACGTTGTAAATCCTTTTCTTATTATTGTTGCTCTTTGTTTTTTCAAAGTTCTTATTTGGTGTTGTCACCCTTTGTAACTTCTCTGTTTTCTAAATTTATTTGTTTTATTACACGTTTAGTCACACCTGTAGCTGCCTTATGTCTCTTTAAACCTTTCACCTCTCTACAACAGCTAAGGGAATGTAACTTTCAGAGACATTATTTTAAGAGAGGCATGGGACTCGCAATATGGGCTATAATGTTATTCATCCGATAAACTATCACAGGTTCTCTGCGGAACTGTACCCCACGTGTTTAGCATAGCTCTCAAGAAAGCTCCACCTGAAATTTAAACCTTTGATAGTTCATGTCTCCTTTTTATTGCTGGTCCACTCTTCTTAGGCTTTTAAATCTATTATATTATTAAAGTGATTGACAATCAAATTTTATGTAAACGGTTAAGGCCATTTACCAAATAAAAATACAGTCATATGGCATATCAAAATGAAGCTTAGAGTGTGTAGATTTGCCGAAAAGTATTGATATGGACGAACGCCCTAAGGGATCTGCCCCACAGGCTAATTTCCAAAGGGCTATGCCTTGCATGTTTTGGAATTTAACGTTATTTGATTAATTTAGTGAACAACAGCTTGTCAATGCAATTGACAATATAGTTTGTTTGTTTACATTTTTGTTTACTTATTTTATTATTTACTTTTATGTTCTTAAAAGAGGTGTGGTGAATGGACTCTGAAGCTATTTCTAGCTGTTTGATACAAGTGAGTGATTAAATGTGTTCGAAACACGATGAATATGAGATTAACAAACCATGTAGCCTATGTTGTTCGTTCTAAGAGGTTGTCACGGATCTTTAATAGGTCACCAGTTCATTGAAAAGTAAGTAAAGTTTTAAAGTATTAAAGACGTCGTGAAAGAGAGTGGCAAGTTCAGGTACAACCGTACCCACCTCGGCCACCTTAGGACGTAAGGTATGAAGGTTCCACTGCTTTTAACATCCTTTCAGATGAAATTTCTCGAACTTGGGCCCTTTAAATTAAATATAAAGTCAAAGTTGATTAAATTAATTTAATGGTGGCTTCTGTACCTCCGTGAATTTGCGGGTAGAGCCTCTTGTATCTTTTTATTCTGATACAAATATCTTTATACATTAATTACATTATTATTATTCTGCTAAACCCTTATTGAACTCACCAGCAATTAATGAGACCGAAGTTTCATGTAACTTACCATTTGATAAATGTTATCTTAATCCATATTTTTAAACTAGGATACTATTCCCCTTGATGAAAGGATTGAGCACTTGCCACAAGAGTTGGATTGGGTTCACCAAAAGACAACTCCTTTAATTGTTAGAAAAAAGAGCAAGCCAAGATTCACAAAGGTCCATTTTACGGATCCTCCGTCAGTAGCTCTTCCTTGTGGTCCTGAGTGTAACAGCGGCAACAAGTGAGTACTTGTTTACGTTAAATGTGGTCTCGTAAAACTTTCTCATTATTTAAACAAATGAGATATGTATTCCATTCCAACAGATTTGTATGACATAAAAATCTAGCTTACATTGTAAGCTAATTCTATCCTGTAATCTTCGGCCACTTGTACCTGACGTAACATTTTTTCATGTGAATGAAATGGAAAAAATTGGAATGAAAATACCAATTTCAAATTGTTATTAGGCACTGTAATGTAAAATGTCTATTGTAAAGATTACTGTTTTCTGATCCAGGAATTAGTTGATCTCTTCTAGTTACAAAGATACACAGAACTAATAGTCACTCTCCTGTCAGTTATTATACAAACTTAAATTAAAATCAAGCAGCATCAGGTTTACATACATGATAATATATATTTTTAGAGTATCAATAAATAAAATAAATTGTTGTACTGCCAGACTTACAGCATTCAAGAACCAGTTGGTCGTTCGTCTGAGAAGAGTGTTGCATGAGGAAAGCAACGTTTTCAAGTCTAGAGCGGACAATCCTTATAATGTAAACTACAATGTACAACGCGGACCATCATCTGGGGTGTCTCCTCAGAAATTGGTGGGTGTGAAAATGCTAATCAAATTCCAGTTTTGTTGTATCAAGCATTCTGGGTTAGCAAAGAGTTGATTGCAAATGGCAATTTAGTTCCATTTAGCTCAACAAAAGGAAACAATACAATTTATAATTTTAAACATTGCCACATTGCTTCGTTGTCATATTGTCATTCTTGTTTACAGTTTCATATAGTTTTTTTTCTCTCCTTTTATTCATCTTATTCTACATTTTCTTTTCTTACTGCTAATATCAATTAATGCCATAAATTAATTTGCATTTTAGCCTATGCTAAATTGTGTGTGTATAAAAATTGAATTCTCAGGACTGTTACATCAAAAACATCTTCTCGGCAGGACTACTTGAAACGTATGGCCATACACAATTTAATCTTGATCTTCCTTCCAGACCTCCCAAAACTTTTTTGTGGTTATAGCTAACTTAATCTGTGTCAAAATTTCATATAATTACAAACCCAAAATAAAATTCAAGATTTGCCAAAAATACATTCCACTTAGGCCTACCTATTTCCAAAGCCATCATAAGCATTAGGCAACAGTACTAATATTATTACCAAAATCAAGTAAGAGGTTTTTTGTTGTGGTCAACAGTAATTTACAAACCAATTTAACGTTTTTGATCTCATAGGCTTAACAATACGTGGCATGTCACTTGACCGATCGCTACTAGAGTGGTAAAAAAACCTAGTATATTTTAACTGTTTGCGCTAGGCCCAAGTACCAGCTTACGTGTCACGAGCTGTAAGCCTACTGTGATAGCTTACATTATCCTCTCAGGTCCATTAAATGAACAGATAATTGTTATTTTTTGCATGGATTACCAGTGATCACTGATAACTAAAAATGCTGCTGTTTTTTAGATCTGTGACCTGTATAGAACTCTACCAGAAATCCATACTGTCAGGGGTAAAGGAAAGCCATTCGAAGGCACAGATCTTGGAAGAGCCATTCCTAGCACACCTTTGTTTGGGGAGAATGAAAGATACAACAACTGTGCCATAGTCACCAATGCTGCATCTTTCCTAGGTTCTAACTTGGGGCCATTGATTGGTGAGTGATGTTGCTCCAGTAATTTCATTAGTGGGCTCATAAGAATGAGAAATGTATTTGTCATGCATTGAAAATTTATTGGCATATTATCAAAGGCTGTGAAAAGGTTTACAGTATATTATAGAGTACTGTCAAATAAAAAAATCTACTTTTTATTTCTCTAGAAATATTTATTTCCTGTTTAAAATATAAATAGTAATGAATACATCTAAACAAATAAATTAAACCTGTTGCATTGCTTTAGTGACAAAAAATGAGTGAAATGTAATCATGTCAGTAAGTTAGTCTGCAGGTTTGCTGCGGCGTGGGTATTTTCCTGTAGTTTTAGTCATGTCATGCCAACATGAAAGCTGAAGCGGATCACTTGCTCAATGGTAACAGTGAATAAAACACACAATGTTGATAAGTGTACAGTGCTTAACCAATCAAAATAAGCGAATGGTGGCTGAAAATTGTGCAGGCGCGCTAGCCGTCAGAGGTTTTAGCTATGTAACAAATAATGCAGCAATTATATCTCCAGCCATCAAGGCTATGTGCCCATCATGGTATCAAGCCAGGTCACACTGTTTTGGTGCTTGGTCAACCATAAGAGAATTTTCACGTAACGTTGCAGTTTAAGCAAGTAAGTAATCTACCATCGCACATTTCTGTACGAATCTAACAAGATGTATTTTGTTAATATTTTGGCGGAATAAATGCTATTTTGATTTTTTTTTTTGACATACCAGCTCTGCTGTGAACGTACCCTTATAAATGTATTCTAGGCTTTTAGAAGAGCTGAAAAGAGAGGCTAAGATTACAAATAAGTTTCATTTGTTTTGTTCCACAACATTACTTTCAAGCTATATTGTTTTAGCGAACAACTTATCATTATTACAGACAGTCATGACTTTGTACTGAGGTTCAACCATGCGCCTACAGAGGGTTACGAGGCAGATGTCGGGTCTAAAACTTCCCTACGAATGCTCAATTCCCAGGTTGTTTCCAAGCCACACTTTAATTTCCTCAAGTCCAAGATGTACCAAGGGGTGAGACTGCTTGCTTGGGACCCTTCAAACTATACCTCCACACTACAACAGGTAAACTTGTGCAAAAAATCCTTTAAAGTGTCCATATGTTACTACCAAAGGGATTTAAGCTACTTCATTTATAAAGGGATTTTGCTCATTAGTCATTGAGGATCTGTCAAGCAGTTATCTATATATAACTGTATATATAAGTCTCTATATATATATATATATATATCTATATATATTGGTGTCCCACGAAGGGGTTTAAACGTTTGATTTCATATTACGTGCCCATTCATCCACCGAACTTTTTTAAACTTTACACAGTTTACAAAGTAGGTTCTAAAAATATTCTGGAAAAATTTCAACTCCCTAACCTTAGTAGAAACAAAATGGTGTCCCACGAAGGGGTTTAAACGTTTGATTTCATATTACGTGCCCATTCATCCACCGAACTTTTTTAAACTTTACACAGTTTACAAAGTAGGTTCTAAAAATATTCTGGAAAAATTTCAACTCCCTAACCTTAGTAGAAACAAAATGGTGGCATATTGAAAAATTTACCAATTTGCTTCATATAAAAACTACTTTCATGATCTATTATCTGATTTGTTTACTACGTTGCGGTTCTAACGCTCATTGTTGAAGAACAGCTGTTTGATTGTAAAATGAGTTTTAAATGAACAGGTCTTGCCCCATTTGACGGTACAAGAAATGAATCAAGCAATCTTTCAACAAGATGGTGCACCACCTCATTTCGCAAATCCTGTCAAGCAATTACTAAATGGCAACCTTCATGGCCGTTCGATTGGTCGTGGAACCCCGATCACCTGATTTAACTGTTTGCGACACCTTTTTATGGGATTTATTGAAGGAACAAGTTTATACCCATGGCTTCAATAATGATGAGGAACTAAAACGATCAATAGAAGAGGAACTTCTCCGGATACCGCGGAGTTTCTTTGTAAGAGCTTAAGAATAATTTGTTACGCGCTGTTATCAATGTGTTGCTGTGGATGGGTTACAGTTTGAATAATTTTGGACATTAAGGTTTTCCATTAAGGCTATGTTCTAGTTTTTTTTTTTTTTATTTAAGTCATATTGCCCTGGAAAGTAACAATAAAAATATTTGATAAAACCAAAAATACCTTCTTTAATCTTTTTAAAGCATCGTTTTTCAATAGGCCGCCATTTTGTTTCTACTAAGGTTAGGGAGTTGAAATTTTTCCAGAATATTTTTACATCCTACTTCTTAAACTGTGTAAAGTTTAAAAAAGTTCGATGCATGAATGGGCACGTAATATAAAATCAAACGTTTAAACCCCTTCGTGGGACACCCTGTATATAAAATCCAATGTATGTTTGTTTGTATGTATGTTTGTTTGTCCTTTATGGACTCGGAAACCGCTTGACAGATTGTAATGAAACTTTCAGGCATTATTAAGCATTATTCAAGGATGGTTTGTGTGAAGTTTGGTACAGATCCGTGAAAAGGGCTCCGCCCCAGTGGCTCTGAAGTTTCCCATGTTAATCTTATGAGTACTCATATTTAAATGTAATTTAAGAATCTTAACAGCTGGTTCAACTAATCAATTTGATTCTGTGATGATCAATAGTATTAAAAAGTTAATAGGTTTACCAACAGGGTGCAGGACTATTATTTTTTTTTAATTTATGACAACAGCTAATTTGCAACCAAAACGTAAGCAAGCGTAGCGAACGAGCTCCAACCCAAAGGTGAGTGAGCGCAGCGAACAAACTTCAACCAGGACGAGATTGAGCCATGCGAACGAGTTCATCTTGAAAATGAACGAGCTTTTGACATAAAACCACATTAGGACAGGACGACATCTGTCGGGCCAGCTAGTATTCTATAAAGAATTAGGTTTGCATATATCACAAAGTAGGTTGTATATCACAAAGTAAAGGCCTAACCCAGAAGTCTCAACAAGCCAATAAAAACGTCTTGGAGTGCTGATGTTGCCGTGATTTTGTTAAGTTTACATTTTACTTGTAAATATTATCAGCTGATCGCAATGGTGTAGTGGCATCAGTTCTCTCTCCTACCACCCCGCATCTGACCTAGTCTGCGACTGTGACAGTTCTGGCTCCTAGGTTCTGGTGTACACATTAGTAGATTAGATTAACATTTAATCGGCTCTGTAAGAGTTCTGGGTCAGGTCTTTGTTTTGTGATATTATATTATCTATTTCACAGTTAGCCTTATTAGCTATGATATGTGATATTTTTGAATGTGTATCCTAAATACTTGGAAAATCAGCTTCTGTGAAAGCCTAGTGTGGTGATATGGTGTAGTATGGGTGTGAATACCTGGGCCCTATATATCTTCCTCTAACCACTGCCAAATCACGCACATTTCCTGTCGTAACCTAACTCAATTGCAACGAATTAATCTAACTCGTCAAAGTGCACAATATTACCTTAGCTGCCTATCACAGCCAGCTTTTATGTTCTTAATGTATCTAATTATAATATAATGAACAGAGAAATATATATATATGGACTTATTCTAATTCGTGAAAAAGGTTACTAGACTTAGCAAATGTGAATTCTAATTTACGATATTAATTGCCAGACCACGACCCTTCGAGAACCTAATAAACTACATGATTGAATTACCTTTTGCCCCAACCTACACCCTTTCCCCAACCCCTACTTCTATTAGCTAGACATCTTAGGCTACAGTCTACTTATCCGATCAGATGTACAGCTCCAGGCGCTCGACACTACACTGTACTCGTCTCTTGGTTCGCTGCGCGTGCCTACCCGGGTCGACTGCGCGCGCATCGTGGTCACGTGACTTGCGCTATTGTAGCGGTCCGCTACATCCTCCCCCCGGTGGGGTTGTTTTTTTTTCTTTTCCTAGTTTTGGGGTGATTTTGGGGTTTGGGAAAGATGAAGGACGAAGGAATTTTTTTTTTTTTTTTTTTTTTTTTTTTTTTTTTTTTTTTTTTTTTTTTTTTTTTTTTATTGTGCTCGCCGTGAGATTGTGTCGTTGTGACATCGGTGTCGGTGTGGGAATGTTCCAACAGTTTTCTGCACTCCTTTTGGTTTGACTCATTTGAGGTTATAATGTGTGTCGGTCTTGCTTATAAACTATTAACTATTTTTTTTTTTTCTAAACTAAAGGTGACTATGGTTTTGAATGAATTTCTTATAACTATGTTTGGTGGGATTGCTTAATCTAAACCTGCTCTAAAAAAATGTGGGCGGGCGTATATCAGTGATAGATTTAATTAAGTTCGGTTGAGAAAGATCTGTTGGTTGATGAAGTTGGATATATGATTGATGATGATGAATTTGGGAATGTTGTCGAAATAGTGAGGGTTGATGAAATTTGATGGTTGTATTGAATTCTGGTAATTGCTGGTAAATTTGGAAGGTTGCTGAAGTTTGATGAGTTTCTTGAAGTTGAGTATTTGGAAGAATGAAGTTGTGTAAACTGAAGAATGAAGCTGGAGTAGTGTTCTGAAGTTCTTGAAGGTATACTGTTGTGATGTGATGTGACGTAATTTCGTAATTAGCTCTTGAGCCCTTACTAAATTCGGGGCGCTAATTATATCGCTGGACGCCTCTTAATGGTGGATGAAATGCGTTGGGTTTTGAAGTTGATATGAGGTTGATGATACGCTTACTCAGATGTGAATTTGGAGATTGTTTTGATTGATGATTAATTATTTTGATGTTAGTTATCACTGATATATTCCCTAAATATTCGGTAAAAATTGATCGCGACTACTCTACTTAAGTTTACTATTGATACTTATGATCTAAATGAATTTACTAATAATAAGAAATTGTTCTACTTAATTTAAAAAAAGGAATTTAATTTACTGAGTATAAAAGGGAAAAAATCTAATGTTTATCTACTTAAATGCTATGGATTTGATTGACTGGGAGATATATTACTAAGTTTCTGTTGATTTACTAATAATAAATTAATTAACTAGTGTGACACACATTATACACTCTTTCAGTTTGGATGCTATTCATGGTTGAATGGAGTTTCGAAAATCTGTTGGTTGATGTAAGGAATGATAGTGTTATTGTAAGTGTACATTCATTCGAAGCTCCTCTAGTGGCAATTATCAAGAATTATGCACAGAGGTATTAAATAATAATTATTTATTTCACCGACGGCTTAGCACAATTTAATTTTTTAAACAAATATTGTTTTAATATTTTCCTTCAATGTGAAGGATTGATCGGTGCTTGGTTTGATTATTTATATAGGGCGGAAGTAGAGGTTTGAATGGAACAGATGTTTGTACTGATAACGACGGTGTTATCTCGTGCCTGGCGCTTGCTATTGTCTGTTTCCTACTAGTCCATTTCCTTCTCTGTCCCTCAGCAACATAAATATATTTATCTATATTTTTGTATTTTATTTTAACGCATGCAAGTGTATAACACATAATAAACATTTAAATTACCCTTTATAAATATATAATACATAAACTCTTCTGCTACGCTCAGAATACTACTTGTTATTTACAAACATATGTATTGTAATGTGCGCTGTTATCTACTTTGATAACGATTGTATTACGCCTAAATACCATATATCTTATTTTAATATACGTGGATGACTTTACTTACTTAATACTTTTTATGTAATGTTGTATTTACCTTTGCGATTCAATTGCTTATATTAACACAGAAATACTTAATTTTACTTAATTCTACTTAGTTCTACTTAGCCTAATTGCCATAGTTTAAGTCTAGCTTGGTCTGTAGTCAGTTGTCTGTATCGTTCCTGTGTTGTCATTTTTCAGTCAAGTACTGTTAGTGAGTGTTTGTTGTCATAAGTAAACTGTCGGCTGCACTATTCATATGACAGTTGCAATCTGTCATAAGAATGTGTTATGGCGAACGATTCCCGTCATAGCCAATTTGAGCAAATTAAAAATAAAAAATTACTTAAAAAAAATTAGTCGTTTGCTCAGATTGTAAGTTTTAAGGGGATTGAAAAAGTTGTTGATTACTGGGGTCTGGAAATGCATATATTAAGTACAAACACTATGACGTGTTTCGCTGCCAACTTGCCA